GGTGCTGTAGGGGCTCTCTGGGCCTGGGGTGGAGGAACAGATTGTGGACAGTGGGGAAGAATAAGGGCAGCTGTGCAGACACTAGCCAGCTCCTCAGCGTGGCAAGGCAAAGACGAGCAGCTGCTGCTGGGGAAGTCAGGGCCAGAGGGTGGCTCATCTTCCATCCATCTCTACAGAGTCCTGTCCCAGGTCCAAGATCTGTCCCTTGGAGAACAATTGCAGCCAAACAAACATCTCTGGCTCCAATACTTTGTTTACTTCCCTTGATTTAAGGGGCAATGTTATTTCTGACCTAAACTGCTGCAGATACTCTGAAAAACTGCCTCTTTGCTTATCCTGAAGAACAGGAGGGAGTCTAGTGTATCTGGAACAAAAAACCACCTCTGGGAAAAGGACCTGATCAAGGTCTAGGCCCCACTCATGCCCCACTCTAGGGGATGGATCCCTTGATGGTTACCTGTTCTCTTTATTCCCTTTAGGGCACCTAGTGTAACCCACACACAGAGGCTACATCTACACTGGCGTGATCTTGCGCAAAAACTCTTTAGCGCAAGAGAGCGTCTACACTGGCATGTGCTTTTGCGCAAGAGCATCCTTGCCAGTGTAGACACTCTCTTGCGCAAGAAAGCTCTGATGGACATTTTGACCATTGGGCTTTCTTGCGCAAGAAATTCATGTTGCCTGTCTACACTGGCCTCTTGCACAAGAACAGTTGCGCAAAAGGGCTTATTCCCGAGCAGGAGCATCAGAGTTCTGGCGCAAGAAGCACTGATTTCATACATTAAAACATCGGTTTACTTGCGCAAGAACATGTGGCCAGTGGAGCGAGGAAGCAAGCTTTTGCGCAAGAGCGGCCACTTTTGCGCAAGATCGCGCCAGTGTAGACGCAGTCCTAGTGTGGTCACTGAACAATGCAAGTGGTACATAGACTACAGCTACAGTTAAGATTAAGAGACCTCTACAGCATGGACTAGGAGCTAGCTGGCTTTTAGCTCAGAGGGTAGAGGATCCTATAGTCTGTTTCAGAGAGCCCAGGTTCAAATCCACCTGGTGGTGGTTAGAAATGGGGGCTCATCCAGGATCTCAACTGGGTCTCTGAAGTTTGGGATGCGCTTCCTCATCTAGGGGAAGTATGTAACCCACACACCAAGGCTATGTCTACGCTGGCGTGATCTTGCGCCGGGAGTATGCAAATGAGGCTAAGCGTGGAATATCACTGAGCCTCACTTGCATATCTAATAAGCTGCCATTTTTGCAAAAGAGGATCTTGCGCCAGAAGGAGCTGTCTACACTGCCCCTTCTTGCACAAGAAAAACCCTCTTGCGCAATGCTGCTACACCTATTACTTTTCAGGAAGAACGGCATTGCGCAAGAGGGTTTTTCTTGTGCAAGAAGGGGCAGTGTAGAGTGTAGAGCCTCTTCTGAAAAAATGGTGGCTCATTAGGAATGCAAGTGAGGCTCAGTGATATTCCACGCTTAGCCTCCTTTGCATATTACTCGCGCAAGAAGCCACGAGTGTAGACATAGTGGCTGCGTCTAGATTGCCAAGTTTTTCCGCATAGTCTTAGTGTGGTTACTGAGCAAGGCAAGTGGTACCTAGACCACAGCAACAGTTAAAATCAAGAGACCTCTATAGCATTGGCTGGGAGCTAGCTGGCTTTTAGCTCAAAGGGTAGAGGCTCCTATACTCTGCTTTAGAGGTCCCAGGTTCAAATCTACCTGGTGGTGGTTACACTAGCATGGGCCACTGTTGAATAGTAGGATACTGGGCTAGATGAACCTTTGATCTGACCCAGTCTGGCCGTTCTTATGTTCTTAAACCTTGTCTGTATTCTCTGCACAAAGTAAAGTTGCACCTATCAGTAATAAAAGGCTTCGGGAAAGGATTAGACTGAAGTAATACAATGCCCCTATAGTGACTCAGCCCCCAACATAGCACACTCTCTGGCTGCTCATTACCCTACCTCTGCTGTTCCACTTTTTCCTTTGGTTGTCCAATAGAAGTTGTAAGAACTCTCAAATTTTCAAACTCAAGCACAGCCCTCCAGATTTCAGGAAAAATTTGGAACCCCCCAGCTTTTCACAGGGTTGATTCAGCCTCATGTTTTCCTGGGACGGGCTCCCGGTGCCTGATGACTGAAAAGCAGAGAAAAAAGGAGAGAGTCAACAATTCACATTTTTCCAGGGCAAAGCTCATACAAGCCCAAGCCAATCAAGACAGCCATGGACTCTACCAGGGTTTGTTTTGTCTCTTAAATATTTTTAGCTGATGGTATCCTTTGTGTTCTATGGGAACGTTAAGAGACTCGTCGGTTTAAGAAGTCCTGCAAATCTCTTTCCTTTGATCTCCCCATATACTTTGCATGGGCGTGTTCTTATTACAGCTCAGAAAGACCTGAAGATCTTGTTTCCAAGTATGGGGCTGGTTTGAATTCCAGTCAGCAGAAAGTGGAAACAGAAGAGGGCTAGAGGGTGAATGCTTTTGCCCTATTGCTTGATTCTGCCCTGAAGGATGCAATTATGAGGGGGTGAAATTGACTCTGGAGCAAAGGGCCTGCACCATATAAGTCTTCCGTAAGCTCCTAGATTGTATCATCAGCCAGGCTTAGTAGCTGGTCAAATCATTTAAAAACCACATGGCTACATCTACACTGGCATGATTTTCCGAAAATGCTTTTAACGGAAAAGCATTGGCAGAACACTTTTCCACATAAGCACTTTTTGCAGAAAAGCATCTGTGGCCAATCTAGACGCGCTTTTCCGCAAAAAAGCCCCGATCGCCATTTTCGCGATCGGGGCTTTTTTGCGGAAAACAGTACTGTGCTGTCTACACTGGCCCTTTTGCACAAAAGTCTTTCGGAAAAAGACTTTTGCCCAAACAGGAGCAGCATAGTATTTCCAGAAAAGCACTGACAATCTTACATGAGATCGTCAGTGCTTTTCCGGAAATTCAAGCGGCCAGTGTAGACAGCTGGCAAGTTTTTCCGGAAAAGCGGCTGATTTTCCGGAAAAACTTGCCAGTCTAGACACAGCCCATGTGTGGGGTAATTCTTTCAAAATAAAAACCAAAAAACAAAACCAACCTGGCCTCCAGGCTCCAGAAAATCACTTACCTGACCTGCTGATAGGGTGTGAGGAGCTCTTGTAGGGGCTTAAAAGGGGCAAAATCTTTCAGCTGGTGCTTGGCACAGAGGGGAGTTCCAGCTTTCAAAAAAGTCAGAACCTTCACAAAAGCAGCCAAAGTCCGCACGGAACCCATTCACCTTCGGGTGCACTTGAGAGGCACCGAGCCCACTGACAGATAGCATAACGAAACTGTTCTACAGCCTTTGCCAAAAGATCAGGTGACTTTTAGCTCCTGGGATAGAGGCTCATGCACCAAGCTTCTCCAGAGGTCCTAGGTTCAATTCCAATTGCTGGCCTTATGCAAGGATCACTTGTGCAGGCCATGTGAACTCGGCAAGAGTTAGTGCCTTCAGTTAGGTATGCTCAAGCGTGTCCCTTCTGTTAAAGCTAGAATAACTTATCCCAGCCTGCCAGGGTATCATCCACAAATGGTCTGTGCACTTTGGTTGGTATAGAGAAGCAGTTTTCATGGAGTCTAAAAGGTCAGAACGGACTATGCTGATCACACAGTCTGCCCTTATGCATAAAAGAGGCTATAGAATTTCATCCAGTAATTCCTGTAACAGATGGAATTAATCTTCCCTCATTAGTGACTGATCATCCTCAAGTTGGGTGACTTGGGCCTGAACTGTAGCATATCTTTTAGAGAGACATCAGGGCCTAGCCCACAGGGGTTCTGATCCATGCTTAGGGCTCCTTGTTGCTACCCAAATAATAATCTGAAGACTCCAAATGATGATGATTTTGCGTTTTCCTTTGGCAAGCTGTTTGCTGAGCAGTTATGGTTAATTGCCCCTGTTATGCAAGAGCTGTTTCTTATTTCCAACATAAACTTTTCTAATCTCAACTTCCATCCTTTGGTTCTTGTTGTGACGTGGTTTACTAGATGAAAACCACAAAAATCAGATGCAGTCTCTCTCTCAGAGCATGATTAAGCAACCTTGTGGTGAAGAAATTAATTGGCATTTTAAGATTATTTCTGTGCAGAAGTCTAAGATCAACACCTGAAAATGTGCAAAAAAAAATTAGGGGAATACAAGACTGCCAACAACAACATATTTTTTGTCATTATAGGTAAAATTATACTCAGAACTTTGAATACAAAAGTCCACTTAGTCCAATTATCCAGAGCAGGAGAGAATTTCAGTAACTTTTATTATCTCACTCTTCATTAGTTCATATTACCAATAGGTTTGCATCAATCAGGGGCTATGTTCCTGCTAATCTTTTCCATATACAGATTTTTTCATTGATGCGTGGAATAATTTGTATGTGCACCGAGACATGTGTGAATGTGCACCACCAGTAGAAACAAAAAGCCTAGCTGTGGGCACTCTGTTAATCAGCTGAGTGGCATGAATCTTTCTTGAGCGGCCTCGCAAGCAGCCAACTTACAGGTAACACTGGCCCTAGGGTCAATTTGGCAATTCAGAAATAC